ATCCTCAACGGCACCGATTGCTTCCTTCAGGTTCGTTGTGTTCTCACGATTCCTATTAACTTGGATGACTATCTTAGTTGAATCTGATCTTTGGTTAAGTTGGTTACTAACTCTGGGATTGCGAATACAAGACTAGAATAAGATTGTGTTTGTTTAGTTGTTAATGTTTGGTTTCTGTGCTCTGTATACAGCTTAGTCTGGTTTGATCTTTTCTCAAGTTTGCTATATGCTTGAGTTGGTTACTAGCTCTGGATTTAATTACAAGACTAGTTCTGTTCTGTAGGGGTTATTTTATTCTTTGGGATGTTCTAAGAGGAACATAAGGTTTTGTTTGTTTTGTTCTTAAATGTTTTTGGTCTGTGCTCTGTTTTTTCAGCCTAATCTGAATAAGTTATTGGCAATGGGACGGCCTGCGTGGAAGGAAGCGCGTTCTACGCTTCAAAGACTCTTGTCATGTATGTTTGGTTTGATCCTATTGATTCATTTGGACTGTATGGAGTTTTTGTTATCTGATTTTAAGTGTTTTTGTTTCTATTGTGTGTGTTTGATGCAGCTACTGAACCCACCCTACGAGATAATGATGTTTTGAGGAGTAAAGCATTCTATGAGATGGTTAGTAGTGTTAAAAACGTTTGAGATGTTGTTTGAAGATTTGTTACTAACGTTTGTCTTTTGTTTGGTGCAGAGTAAAGTGGAAATGGTTGTTCCTATGGTGATTGGGGACTATACAGACTTCTTTGCATCCATGCATCATGCCAAGAACTGCGGGCTTATGTTTCGTGGGCCTCAGAATGCTATTAACCCAAATTGGTACGTTTGATGTTAGGTGTTTACTGGGGAGTTGGTTAATCTGTAATCTACATGATATTACCATTTTTTTACAGGTTTCGTCTTCCCATTGCATATCATGGACGGGCATCATCTATTGTCATCTCTGGGACTGACATTATTCGACCAAGGTTAAGTTGTTTAGAATTCACATGCCATGTTTGAAGTCATGCATCATGCAAGGTTTCATGTTTTGGAAAAAGAAAAACTTGTTTTAGTTTTTCAGTGGCTTTATAAAAAATATTCTACTTTGAATCAGGATTGGAGGATAGTGACCATGTCAAATAAACTAATAATGAAATGCTATTACCACCTAAATCTTTGATTGTTTTACTTTCTTCCAGAGGCCAAGGCCATCCACAAGGAAACTCTGAACCATATTTTGGTCCTTCGCAGAAACTTGATTTTGAGCTTGAAATGGTAAGCATCCGATGCCTCAGTTGTGTGGACTTGTGTAGAATGATTCGGTTGATGCTATTTGATGGGAGTAAGCATAACACCATTGACAACTCCCCAACTAACTTTAACCTGTCTTTTGCAATGTGGTCTTCAGGCTGCTGTGGTTGGTCCAGGCAATGAATTGGGAAAGCCTATTGACGTGAATAATGCAGCTGATCATATATTTGGTCTTGTACTGATGAATGACTGGAGTGGTACTCACTTTAATCGTAGTTTCCTTTTTGAGTCATCTTCACCCTGACTGTATGTGAGCGGTTTTATGAATTGTTTGTTGTTTTACAGCTAGGGATATTCAAGCGTGGGAGTACGTACCTCTTGGGCCTTTCCTAGGAAAGAGTTTCGGTGAGGATTCAAGTTTTATCTTTGGCTTTCAGAACATAGATATCATCTACTCTAGTTGGAGTATTTAGAGCAAATAACTTCAGTGAATGTTGTTTTGTTGTATTGTAGGGACTACGGTATCCCCTTGGATTGTTACCTTAGATGCCCTTAAACCTTTCAGTTGTCAACCTCCCAAGCAGGTTAGTACTTAGTGTCACAGTTTTTGTGTCACGCAATCATTGACTCTCTGATCTAACTTATGCTTGTTGCAGGATCCACCCCCATTGCCATATCTGGCTGAGAAAGAATCTGTTAATTACGATATCTCCTTGGAGGTAGTATTCAGTGAACTTTTTCCGATATCAGCTGCTTATGTTGGATTGAACCCAAATAAGCATCATCTGCTTTCCTCTTATAGGTTCAACTCAAACCTTCTGGCAAAGATGAGTCTTCTGTAATTACAAAGAGCAACTTCCAAAACTTGTGAGTTCCTTTTTAATTTTATAACCTCCATACCCCAAATCCTCCATATGATTTTTGCCTCAAACTCTTATTGTGACAGATATTGGACTATAACGCAGCAGCTAGCGCACCATACCGTTAATGGTTGCAACTTGAGGCCTGGTGATCTCCTTGGAACCGGAACCATAAGTGGACCAGTAAATCTCTTTTCTGACTAGCTTTTTTTCTCATGTGATACTGAAAACAAATGAAGAAATGGAATTTGTTTCTTGATTATAAACGCAGGAGCCAGATTCATATGGCTGTCTACTTGAGTTAACTTGGAATGGACAGAAGCCTTTATCAATGAACGGAACAACTCAGACGTTTCTTCAAGATGGAGATGAAGTGACCCTCTCAGGTGTATGCAAGGTAATATTTTGTATCAGCTAATTAATACATAGATTCTGCTTGGTTGATGTCATGTATTTTCCTAACATTCTAGATGGTTTTGAATTTGTCTGATGATGTTTCGGTTTGTCAAACATTTGTAGGGAGATGGTTACAATGTCGGGTTTGGAACATGCACTGGGAAAATTTTACCTTCGCTGCCTTGATGAGTTTTTCAAGGTGATTAAATATACTGTTGATGATTACAGTGAAAAATATTTACTTCTCTATAATTTTAATCAATTTACTACGATTTTAATAGATTCTCTATAATATAAGCCTTTATAGAAAAAAATGTTCTTTCTAGTTTTTATTTCACTTACTAATGTTTTCTTTTTTTCTTTACTAGTTGCATATTCCCCGCGCAAGCGCGGAGTCGGAATCATTATGTTTGCGTGTATTTTTTTCGATTGTTGGTTTAGTGGATTCTTCTAATGAAACCAATTAATAATGAAATGGAAAATTTCATGTTTTATATCGTATGTCAAAACTTGATATAATCTATATTTATAGTATTTATATTTGTATTAAACGATTTATCAATATGAAAATAACCTTAATTAAGTTAATATCCGTTGTTTAAGTTTCATTAGATAGGTATTTATATATGGTTTTTTGTAAGTTTGGGTTTTGTTCATAAATGATGTGGCATTTTTATCTACGGAGTCATCGACTACGGGAATTCATTCGCCGAAGTCTGGAGTCGGTGGTGATAAATGTTTTCAATGAAATTATAGTAGTTATTAAAATGTAAGAGAAATTACATATTCATTAAATAAATAACTTACTTAAATTTTGTTGTTTATTTTATTTTATTTCACATACAATTTTTTGAAAAATATTAGGAATGTGTTAAATGTTATTTATATGCGAAGTAAGGTTTATAGGAATAGTTAGGCTATAATATAGTTTTTAGTGTGTAAAAGTAGGTGTGTTTTTTTTTTGCTGTAAATAGTTTTTATATCGTAGATCAAAACTTGATATAATTCTATATTTATAGTATTTATATTTGTATTAAACGATTTATNATTTATATGCGAAGTAAGGTTTATAGGAATAGTTAGGCTATAATATAGTTTTTAGTGTGTAAAAGTAGGTGTGTTTTTTTTTTGCTGTAAATAGTTTTTATATCGTAGATCAAAACTTGATATAATTCTATATTTATAGTATTTATATTTGTATTAAACGATTTATCAATTTGAAAATAACCTTAATTAAGTTAATATTTGTTGTTTAAGTTTCATTAGATAGGCTTTTATATATGATTTTTTGTAAGTTTGAGTTTTGTTCATAAATGATGTGGCATTTTTATCTACGGCGTCATCGACTGTGGGAATCCATTCGCCGGAGTCTGAAATCGGTGGTGAGGAATGTTTTTAAGGAAATTATAGTAGTTATTAAAATGTAAGAGAAATTATATATTCATTTAATAAATAACGAAAATAATTAAATTTTGTTGTTTTATTTTATTTTATCTCACATACAAATTTTTTAAAAATATATATTAGGAAATATGTGCAATGATTTAACTTTTTGAGCTCCTAATCTATATTATTCAACCCTCATTAAGCCATCCACGTATGCACCCGCGTGGAATTCATTTTTTTTTTGTTTTTCTTTGGTCTGTTCGTTTTTGGATTTATTTTTTATTATTTTTGGGTTGAGCTATATTATAATATGATAGTTTTAAGGTTCTTTAAGCCATCCGCGTAGGCAACCACGTGAGACTTGTTTTTTTTTTTTTTTTTATTGTTCGTTTTGGATTCATTTTTAACTATTTTGGGTTTGAACTTGTTAAGGTTTAGGGTTACTATTTTGATCTTTAAAACAATAAGCCAAACAAAAAAACATAAGAACCTTATAAACAAAAAGCCCATATGATAATAACCTAAATAAAAAAATCAAAAATACATGATAGCTGCGTGGTTTGAACCCACAATCTTGCATACTTAATTAAACACCTTATACCACTTGACTGAAATGTATTTCATTGTTTGTGACCATCTTACCAAGACTATGTCTGTTTAAAAAATATCTATGCATGAGAGCAGTGGGAATTGAACCCATGCCCTTGCAGACCAAAGGTGGGGCCTTAGACCACTTGGCTAAACTCATATTCTTTGTTTGTAGCCATTTTAAAAAAACTATCTATTTTAATATAAAAATGTGGGACCCACAATCTGCCTATGTGGACACCTTAAGGAGCCTTTAAAGTGTATCATTATAATATAGATTTGCAGGAAGTTGGTGGAAATGAAGATCTCATCCATATTCACATCACCACTAAGCACTTGGAGAATGAAGATGATTAAGTAGATAACCCTATCCGTTTAATAAATCAAGTCATCTCAATATTGGTGTAATATGATATTGTTGAATCTTTTGCTATTAAGAAGACAACGTGATCTAAATGCTTTCTTTTTATATAAAGTAATTAATACAGCGAGTGTGAATGGCTCGCTCGCTTAAACAAAAACTTTGAATTAACTGTGAGTGAAGGAAACACCTTGTATTTAATTTATTTTTATTCAACATTTCATGAAAACTCAACATTATTTAAACATAAAACGAGAGCATCAACTCGCTATGTTCCTAAGCCGCACAGCTACACTTACACCTAGAAACGCAACGTTTACACTCCAGCAGCGAGGGCTTGGCGAAGGTGTCGCAACCGCATGTGGTGGTGCATTTCCTCTGAGACACACCTCCCCAAAGGCAACGAGCCATGCATACGAGCACCGGCCCGCACTTAGGACACCCGTATTTCGTCTGCTCCACCATGCATGTCTTGCAGCTGTTTTGTGACGGCGGATATCGGCAGCCAACAACGGAGCTGACGGCGTCAGTTCTTGAAATTGATAGGAGTGTGGAGAGGAGTAGGAGGAAGATAAGAGAAGAGAAAAGGCTTTGAAACTTGTAGGTCTTCTTCATGTTGATTTTTTTGTAATGGTTTCTGAGAGAGTTAAAATTTGTGTATTTATGAATGTCATGACTAGTCCTCTATATAAAATGAATGCAATGACATACAGAAAATATTTATGTCGATTAGGTTAGAATCTAGTGACTTCCACAAGAGTTAACAGTGCAGCAGTGCCCCCAATGTGCATTTAAGTAAGGCATTCACTGTTCTTGAAGTGTACAATTTCCTTAAATGCTCACAGCCAATTCTTGCGAATGTCGAAGATGTAGTTGTTTTCCAAGTAGCACTTATCATCATCCACGACGAACTGAATGACATAAGATAATCATAAATAATTTATAACTAACACTGTGATAGTCATTTCAGAGTCTAATAGATTATGTATACAATATGATAAATAAAAAAGAATTGAAGTATTTGACTTTTGGTATTTCAGTGATTAACTTCAGTTTTTTAACTGAGGTTTTTAGCTTTGGCTAAGAAATTTTTATTTTCTCTTAAAAAAATTAAGAACTGTCTCTTAAATAAGAAATATAAGAATCGTGTATTAGATGGAAATGTAAAAACAAAAAATTGTCAAATCATAAGTAAAACCTCCAGCCAAGAAATTAGCGTTAATCATGCCCATAGATTTAACGTAATAGGAACTTCTAACAAGCATACCAGATGTGTCGATTCTTCAAATATGACATGGTTATACGGTTTAGTATGTGGACTAAACGTTCCTAACATCTCCTTTCTACCATACACTGTTCTCAACAAATGAGCAAGAAAAATAAGTTAGAGAAACAACTTCAGAACTTATTGTACGTAAATGTGGTACATGAGTACGTTAAAAGCAAAAGAAAAAGTACCCTTAATTCTGGTTTTCCAAACCGTATTTGATGTACTGAGGCCGGATACAATTGGTCACACGGAAAGTAAACACGAGAGTGTACTTAGAGCCTTCTTAATTTGAGAGTAAACCATGGTCCTTTCGATGTCGGTTTTTTGTTCTCAAGGACCGTTAATACCATGTCTTCTCTATCTGGTGACCTAAATCGTTAAGTTCAATATCTTTCCCACCAGATCCGAAGTCTCTGTATTTACATTTTAAATATTCTATCAACACATGAAAGATCTATATCCACAATTTAGAAAAAGACCATTCAGTGTGCGCTGCATCTCAATATACGTATTCACATCATGAGATGGAAACATTTGTTTTTGTTTGTTTGTTTTGGGAATGTTTATATATTTAAGTATGGAATTCGAAAAAGGTCATGCGGTGATTATGTGAATCTAAATATATACATGCATGCACGTACATCTCAATATACTTATTCACATCATTAGGATATAATTAATCATGATCTCTTAACCGGGATTCTTAGCTCATGATTAGATATTTCTTTGTTTTTTTGTGTTTATATATTTTTTGGTTAGAAGTTAGTTCTTATAATATTTCTTATTTAAGAAACTATTCATAGATTTTCTTAGTTAAAATCTAAAAAAAAATTAAGAAATGTCTTTTACCCGAAATTAAAAATTTCAGTTAAAAGACTGAGATTAATAATGGTTTATATTTAATAGAGATAAAATGATGAATATCTAAATGTTGGTAACGGGACCTAGTAATATCTTTTGGTAGGTAACGGAACTAGTAATATTTTACTAATAATCTGTCGACGTAAAAATCAAATGTTGGAGCTCGGTCTATATCGTCAATTCTGGATTCGATCCGCTATATATTTGATATGGGATTAGGCTTTATATTGTATTCTAGTAACAGATAATCAAACTATTTCTGACAATATTAACAAGTCGAAAAGTATTCTAAATTTGGGTTAGGTATGTGCAGTGGCTGACCTATGTAGATAAATAGGGTGTCAGGTGACACGATTAAATTTAGGAAAAAAGTTTCTCAGCTACACGAAGTTTACACTAATATGGTGGAAACCATCCAATGTATAAAAATGTGTCAAGAACTACACGAAGTATATGTTAATACATGCCACATGTACGAAGTAAATGATATTATGGTGGCAACATCACAATCGGATTTAATTGTTCTTAAGCTAAGTTAATGGGGTCAATCCGTAATTTATGANATAAAAATGTGTCAAGAACTACACGAAGTATATGTTAATACATGCCACATGTACGAAGTAAATGATATTATGGTGGCAACATCACAATCGGATTTAATTGTTCTTAAGCTAAGTTAATGGGGTCAATCCGTAATTTATGAAACTTAATAAACTTAATTGATTTTAATTATTAAAGTTAATAAAATTAATAAACATAATAAACATAATATTTTTAAAAAACTTAATAAAATTAATAAAATTAATAAACTTAATTATTTTTGTTAAACTTACTAAATTTATTAAACTTAATAAATTTATTAAACTTAATAAATTTATTAAACTTAATAAATTAATTAAACTTAATAAATTTATTAAACTTCATAAACTTAATAAACTTAACAAACTTAATAACTTATAAACTTAATAAGTTATTAAACTTAATATACTTAACAAACTTAATAAACTTAATGATTTATTAAGTTTAATACATCTTATTAAGTTTAATAAATCTTATTAAGTTTATAAAGTTTATTAAATTTTTAAAATTATTATGTTTAATAAGCTAGAATCCTAAAAATAATAAACAAAATAATTTAATAAATTTATTAAGTTTAATAAGTTTAATAATTTAATAAATTTATTAAATTATTATGTTGATTAAGTTTGCTAAGTATATTAAGTTTAATAACTTATTAAGTTTATAAGTTAATAAGTTTGTTAAGTTTATGAAGTTTAATAATTTTATTAAGTTTAATAATTTTTTTAAGTTTTTGTAAAAATATTATGTTTATTATGTTTATTAATTTTATCAATTTTTTAAAAATATTATGTTTATTAATTTTATCAAATTTTTTTAAAATACTATGTTTATTAATTTTATCACATTTTTAAAAAATATTATGTTTATTAAGTTTATTATTTTATTAACTTTAATAATTAAAATTAATTAATTTTATTAAGTTTCATAAATTACGGATTGACCCCATTAACTTAGCTTAAGAACAATTAAATCCGATTGTGATGTTGCCACCATAATATCTTTTACTTCGTATATGTGGTATGTATTAATATATACTTCGTGTAATTCTTGACACATTTTTATACATTGGATGGTTTCCACCATATTAGTGTAAACTTCGTGTAGCTGAGAAACTTTTTTCCTTAAATTTATGTATTAGCATTTTTTTACATGAACCAATGAAGATTCGGTAGATCAATACAAATGTCATATGTTGACCTCATAACTCAGATGCACTTCAATAACTTTTTCCTCATTTTCTTCTTAACAATCGTATATTGGGCGAAAGCCCAGATTATTTGACTCCTTTAAAAATTGATCATGGATCCACCACTGGATATGTGATATCAAGTTCATTATATAGAATTAAGTGTGTTGATTCCAGGACCGATCAATAGAGCCGATAGGGTATATAAAAGGAAAATTTGTTTACGTAAAAACTTCTTAGTATTATAACTTGAAAACTTGGGGGAAAATAAATAATCGGAAAACATGTACGGACAAAGGTATGAAAATTACAAGTCGGATAATTTACCCTATTTGTTACTTCCTCCGTTCCACAATATAGAATGTTTTATCCAAAGCACAAGAATTAAGAAACTTAACTTTTTAAAAGATAACATCATTGATAGTATAAATTTAAAATAAATTAACCAATTATAAATAATAAACTAAAATACTATTGGTCAATCGGTTTTCTATAAAGTTAAAATACCTTAAAAATATCAAAACATCTTATATTTTGAAACAACAATTTTCTCTAGAACATCTTATATTATGGAACAGAGGGAGTATAAATTATAGACCAAGCATGATATCCTAAACAGATAGTGTATTGGGCTATGAAAGTCGGATTTCAATCCCCCGACTCCAGAGGCGGGAGTTCAGTAACGTTCTATAAAATTTGGCCGTCACCACTTAGTGATTATTGGAGAATATTGTTTTACTGGAGAATATTTCAGTCTTGTAAGTAATTAGAAAAAAACATAAACTTTTTTAATAATGAAACACAAATTTCTGGAAGATCTAATAATATGAGGTGGGGCATGTTTTCAAACTTTAACTTTGTCCTAAAGTTTTGAGATTTTCTGAATCAATACTAAACAATGTACTTTTTCTATCCAGCTTTCTTAATATTTATTTGTTCATTCTATTTTTTTTTTATCAAATATATTTATTTGTTCATTCATGATTTGATATTTTCAAATTCTAAGACCGAATTTGAAACCATCGTAACTCCTATGTGGTGAGATCTAGATCAAGGACGGACGTACTTAAATCATTGCTTACTGTGAGTTTGATACCCATATTGCATGAAGACTCTAGTTAAGTAGTAACCATCTCGAGATATCAAAGCCAGGCCAAGTATGTTTTGAGATTTTTCAGATTTGGGTCAGGCAGAATCGGACTCTTTCCAATCGATGACACTTCTACATGTTTCCCTAGATAATTTTAAAATAAATCCATAAAAAGTTCATCACCGTCATGGCCCCAACCCCCAAGTGCCAACTAGTTGACTACAAAGAGATTCTCTTCTTAACCCTACAATATGAATCGTCTACCGTCAGATCAAAAGCCTCTTTCAAAATCAACGGACTAGAATTAAACATCTAAGTGTATACTTCTGGAGACATATGTCCTTTCGTTTGCTCGGCTTTAGCATTACACATGTTCAAGACATGGGACGCTTATCATAATTGCGACAGCAAAAGTGAATAATTTACAACCTTTCCAGATCTACATTATAAGTATTCATCAATCAAGTCGAAAAGTATATATTAATTAATTTTTTAGTAAAATGAGCAGGGGAGGACAAATAAATGTATTACTATTTTTTTTAAAAAAATATGAATAGTTTTATCATATTAATTCTCCTCAAGTTTAATTTTTAAAACATACGATATCAACAACTAGGTCTAGTGATTTATGGTAATATCAACTATTGGTCTCAGGTTATTAAAAAGCTATTGGTCTCGAACGCCATCAAAGATTAAAGGCTAGAATTTTAAAATTTACATAGGTTATCGCATTTCTGTTTTTCATAGAAAATATATACTTTTGAACGAATTATAATTATGTTTAGATAACGATTTGGATTTGACGAGGTACGACAGTACTATTCATTTATTAGAACTATATATATACAGTGGCGGATGACATGCATTACTGTGGGCATGTGGCTAATCTTTTTTTCTCGTTATTCCATCTAAACCAAAATTAAATAATGGTCAAACAAACTAATTCTCAAGAAAAACATCTCTATCTCATCATCTATATGAAAAAAATATATATCTTTAATCTTTACTTTTTTTGTTAGTGTATTCATTTGACATTTATGTTCCAAAGAATATGAGACATGCTATCTCTTCGAAGTCATGTGACCTAATGAACGAATGAATTGATCTTTTATATTGATTTATTTGTAAGACGCCATCCATTTGATCTCCCTTTTCACTCTGATTTCCAGTTTTGTAAACATCATCCCTTATGCTTTATTGGTGCGTTACTATTTACTACGTTTAGTTTCATTTTCTCAATTGTGTTAAAAAAAAAAGTTTCATTTTTCCAAACAAAACAATACAACAAACGGGACCTACTAATGGGTAGCCGTCCAATCCTTTTTACCAGCTTTTCTGCTGGCCATCTTTACAGATTGCGTGTACGTGGAATGTAGCCTGTAAATTTGTTTTGGGAAAATATTAACGTTTAATCGGAAGAAATACTATATTAATCACAATTTCATATTTTGAAAACTAAACCAAAGCTATATTGTACGTTTTCAAAACCTAATCATAATCACTTTTTTTTTTTGGAACCAACCTAATCATAATCACTAAATTAATTAACTTAATGCTTTCAAAAAGTGACTTGGCGGTAGAATTTAACGGTCAAATTTTTATTATTATTATGTACCTGTTTTTTAAACATCAGTTGTATATTACAAATAGAAAATGTTGAAATATAATATTTAAAACTTGTAGTTGGGATCGTCAAGTCGTCCATAGACAAAATATATCATTAAATGAATTGTTTTGATTATAAAAATAGTAAATAGAATGACTATATGAGTATACAATACGATTTAGAAATAAGCTAAAATAAATATCAGTAGTAAATAATTTTTCTTACTGTATATATATGTCATTTATTTTATTTAGCCTTTTAGTTATCTTCTCAAATGGCGTTTTTTTGTCTATTTTACAACAAACTAGAAAAAGAAATGTAGAAGAAGCAAAATCGTGTACGTGGGTCCACGTTCACGCGATGAGTCCTACCTGGGTCACACTCACATGTCCCGCTTGAACTTGTAACCACGTCCTCATTAGTCAGATACATGAAAGGCAGTAACAACGTTTTACATGACAGGTTGTAACGTTTAATTCAATAATTAAGAGTTCATCGTTGATAACATGAAAGGTATGTTGTAACGCTCTCTATGGTTACAGAAGAAGAAACAAAGACATATGTAGATATTTTATTGCATATAGCAAATTTAATTTTTGTAAAATATAATTCAAGTTCTTTAGCTGAAAATTAGATAAAACAATCTGTTTATTATTACAACTTGATGGGTAATGGTTGAGTGATGAGGTTCTATGTCTATGTGGCATGAGGTGTAAAATAGTACATAAGCATTTTTATATATAAGGAAAAAGATGCTTTCATGTGCAATATTCATCATTATGATTCTATAATGACATTGTAGACAAAAAAGCAGATAATTATATTTTTGACATATATTATTGTTTTAAAAAAAAATGATAATCGTAAAGCATTAGGCATTTTGGTTCTACTATAAATAGCTCTCCTCTTGATCAAAGCTCTTCACCCACCAAAGCATCACATACTCTTTTAACTTCTCTTCTCATCTTTATATTTTTCCTTTTTAACTTTATCATTTCGAAATGGCCACCGAGGTATGATATTAAAGTCTCTATATACATTACTTAGATTCTCCATCTCCATCCATAATGAAATTTCTGTATTGATATAGTTAGATTTGACTTCCATCTAACTATTTGTACAAACGATCAGCTTACATACATGTATCATGTAGAATGTCTATCACCAACAATAAAAACTAGACCTGTTTCACGCCAAATATGACGGACTGCTCGCCGTTTAATCTAATAAAAACGGGAGACAGTTTTGTTTATTTTTGCTAAGTGTGTGTTTGCTTACAGGATCAACAAGTGATTGCTCCAGCAGCAGAGAACGTTGAGGTGCCAACAGAGACGGTGGAGGTGCCAGAAGTGACGGAACAGCCGGAAGAAGTCGTCGCCGCGACAGAGTCTGCTCCAGACGCGGTAACAGAAGAAGAAACCGAAGCACCAGTGGAAGAAACGAGCAGAGATGTGGTTGTGGAAGAGGCAGAGGAAAAAGAAGAAGAAGCAGAGGAGCCAAAGGTAGAAGAGGAAGAAGAGAAGACAGAGACTCCAGAGGTTGTGGAGGAGCCAAAGGAAGAAGAGAAGGAGGAGGAGACTGAAACTCCAGCTGTTGTGGAGGAGGAGAAGAAGTCTGAGGAAGAGGAAGCTGTGGCTGCTGAGGAAGTCGCCGCCGAGAAGACCGAAGAGTAAAGAGCAAGAAACTATATATGACCTTCTTTGGTCTCATGATTTCGTTGTCATTTTTCAATTTATATTTTATCAAAATTTCATATGTATTTTCTATCGTTTGTTTGGGCTTATATATGATGATGTAATCAGATATTTGGTTATGATGAAATCAGATATTTGGGTGTTTTGATGGTTGCTACACATTGTTTACATGCTTGGTCGTAGCTATAAAGTTTACAAACAAAGACATGGAAGTTAAAACCATTTGCGTTTGTGTTTGCATGAAAAAAACTATACTGTTTAATTTCAGTTATACAACGTTACTGAACTTTGTGTAAAGTATAATTACTAATAAGTGTCTTTTTTGTCTTTGGCGTTATCGTTTACGTAACACAATGATACCTACGCATCATCAATAAGTAGTGTGTTTCTTTTTTCTTTTTACATTCAGCAAGAGTACTTTTTCAAACGGTTTAATCGTATTCTACGTTTTGATAATTTGAATCAAATAGATACCTGTAACCTCCGCATAGTCATATATAGGAGAAGAGTAAGTGATTACAATCGATGACTGAAAGGAAGTTTCTCTTCGCTTTTCGTAATCAAAGCAGAATATACACGAATCCGACAATTCTAATAAGAGTACATAGAAGTTTACAAAGAATTACTCAAAAAGAAAGAAAGTCATTTCCAACATACACTAACAAAATATTCGTATAATATACGCTAACTATTGGGATATAGGGCACTGATCAAGAACTAATATTGATTAGTTTATATAGGCACGTACGGCCCATCTTATGTTGAGCTCAGCCCGTTTATATCTGTCTTAATCTTTTAGTCCGGTCCATTTTTTGCTTTAAACTCTAAAAATCTTAGACCATCTCCAATTGTTTACACGATTTTTTCACTCTAAAATAAAATCACTTTATAATAGAGTTAAAGTTTATTTCAATGGTACTCTATTTTAGAGTAAAAAAATAGAGTGAATCTGGAGTAAATCTATTTTTCATTCTACTATAGAGTGAGATACCAATCGAGCATTTTTTACTCTAAACCTCTATTTTAAGAGTTTTGTTGGCTATTGGTGCCGAATCATAGTCATATAAGATACATTCGTAAACAAATTTCACGTACGGAAGAAAAAAATTATTTAGACGTGGTGGGTTTATTTGTTTGGGCCTATTTTAGCCAGTCTGCAAGACCAGTAAACAAACATATGAGAGCCGAAAGCCATCCTTGCAATATTGCCTTAAATTTGTATGGAAAACAAAATCTTACCATATAAAATTGACTATCATTTATATATTTTTTTTGAAAAAAGGACTAACTATCATTTATATTGGATACTTATTATTGTTGAAATTAAAGTGTTATCTAAAATCATTACAAAAATGTAGATATTTGTTACGAATAATTGTAATAAAAAGCATTGTTACGAATAATATTTGCGATGGTTACACTATATAAATAGTTTTTTTTTTTTGGAGAAAATCTATGAATAGGCAAGTACAAAGTTGCTAGGTAACATGGGGGATATGGAAATTCCGGTTAATGTTGATTGTTATCCTCTGGACATCATTATTTGAAAATTGATTTTTTAAATTTTGATTATGTGTCACCTTCACAACCACTTTCACTTAAAAGATAACATGACACACTAAAAATTATGATATAGCTTATGACTAATTATTACATGGAAAATTACATTTAATATTGTTTTATACTTTTTGTAAACTTCTTAGATATAGTAATAATTGATACATCGTCATTAAAATAAATACATTCAAACATATCACTAAATTAAAATAATAATAGAAATATAACAACATTTTACAAATTTCAAAATGGTATTTAATTTTATATTTTATAATTATATAATTTTTATTAAAAATTTCTTCAAAATTTTTATGGTTTTTTTATAAAAATATAAAATTTTAATCTTAATACCATTTGTTTCCTTTTGATATCTACAAATTTTAGTAATACTACTTATTTTTACTTTTATATATTTATATAAAACTTTATATCAGATTTTTTTTAATTAATTTTATACAAGTTGATTTAATATATTTTCACCAAAAAAAATTAATAAAAATCTATCTAAGACTATAATTCTAAACATATACATATATATTAATAAATAGAAATTTAAAATAAAGAAAAATATTTGTTTTATATTAATTTAGGTTGACTTAAATTATAATTTATATTAAAATATTGGAAATAATATAATGTAAAATCTTAACAACAATTTCTTTCTAAATATAATTTAAATTAAATATAGTCTTTGCTGTACATGCAGGAAAACACGTAGTTTGCATAATAAGTGCTGAAACTTTTATAATCTGTTAACAATACAAAATTCCAAATGTCCTGAACCATTGTAAACGGGATCACCTTCGTCTATCTATAGTTCTATACCAAATAAAAGTTGATTACTCTACCCATTCATAGGGAAAATACACCTACCTATCCCCTATTTGGATAAATATACGCATCATAAACTAATTGGTATAGTTCTTATTCACTTAGTAGGAAATAAAATTCAAGCCGGTCGACCAGCTAATTCAGACCAGTCTGCAGTTATGAAATGTCTGCAAAACTTTAACCAAAGTAAACGTTGCAAAAAAAAAAAAAAAAAAACACATGGCCTAATATCCACTAGTTCTTTGTTTTGGATTTTAGCCATGATACAAGATCGAAAGCGGAGATTGCTTGCACTCTTTCTTAGTTAGTGATGCATCATCATAATATCGAAGGTTTTTTATTGAACTAAGAGTAAGAAAAAAACAAAGAGAGTTCACGGGCTGACTATATTCATAGTGCATCCATCGAATTTATAATTGCTCCCAAGGGACCATCCAACTCTACATTGACACGCTATGCACCGTGACAAAAACCTATATGATGATATGTAACTTTTTCGTTTTAAACAAGTTTTCTATATAGTTTTAGTTACTAAATTAGTTAGTTTTTGGAGGGTTAAAAGTAACCGGGAGAATGATCGTACGGGAAAGCAATCTCTAGGCCTAGTATCTTCTGACCTCCAGTTAGCATCGTATCTGTTACCTATCTCATATATATAACAATGAGATGGAATACGATTAATAGTAGTTTATCTGAAATAAATATATAATAATTTTGTGGTCTATCAAAATATATACATTATGAATTTCGCCCTTCGAATTGCATGTGGTTTGAGACCAAACGTGGTTTGGAATCTTTCAACTTTATTGAATTTAAAGGTGACTGCTCTCCCGAAAACACCAAACAAATAAAAAACGCACCTTTTGGTTCACCACTTCCTTCCCTTCCTAGTCCCATGTGACGACCAAAAGAGATCTTATAACTTACTCTTTATTATATCTTTCACTAGATTCTTTATTCACGGGAAAGAGTCGTATATGTGTACTGTTCAGTCACTTATTAGATCTTATATTTGTTCATCATATGCGCCATCTTTAATATGTTCATAATTAAAGCCATCTCTTTTTAGCTTCAAAATACTGACATGATTAAACACTATATATGTATGTATTCCTTGACGTAGTGACAATGTGACATGTCATTTTGTTCACAGTGGTAGCCTTCATAAGACGAGATCAATCATCCATAAAGTTTCCATGGTTTATCGAATAAATCGCTGGATGAGGTCTGATCTTAGTCATACTCAGTAGAACTTCAAAGTGAATTTGTTTTATATTGATGTACTGATGTTTTTGTATGTATATAATATGTATTGGTAATTTGATATCTTTATGACAAAATGTATTTCATTTGTAAACAATCTATTTAATGCACTTAATGCCTTTGCATGAAGACAATGGTAAAAAGGACGCAACATTTTATAAACTGATCGAGACGTCAGGCCTGCCCGATTACAGCTTGAGACAGATTGTCTTCTAAGATATTTTATTGTCTGCGTGTCGCAAAATAAACGGCTTAGTTTCTAATAAAACTTTCCTGTGAATTTGACATTTTGTAAGAAATGTAATTAGTAAGAGTAAGAAATTGCAAATACTTATTTTCAGTTATGAATTGCAAAGTTTTTATGATTAAATGCTTCTTTTTTTTTTTTTTTGTATTCATTGTTTTGTACAGTTGACACATGTATATTAGGTATCTTATTCTCTATTATGTAGCGTTATTGTTTCTTTTCTTTTGAAAGATGCATGCACTAAGAATAAAGGCCTTAGGCTTATATCAAGGATTTGACATGATATATCCGGCAACTGATTAATTCTAATTTATTTTGGTGAATCTAATATATGAGCATACGTGTATGTTTTTTAATATTGGTAATGTGCACATTTTCTGATATCAAATTAAGATTTTCATGATTTACCATCATATAAGTAGTAACCTATATTTTCTCCAAGAAAAAGTAGTAACCTATAAGTCGTTAGCATTATAATGCTCTAGTAAATAGTTTTTCCTTTTATATCCTATGGGTATATATATATATATGTTTTACACTGCTTATGCTTAATTACCAGAAATTTCTGCTACCATGATACTTTTTCTTGTATATTAAATACAACTGCCTAAATATATATATATATATAATATATATATATATATATATATATATATATATATATATATATATATAGTATTACATTGATTTTTCTAATAATTGAAAAGATAAACTGCAATGGTAAAGTAAATATAAATCATTCAAAAGGTCGATCTAGGTTTGCGACTTCTATTTAAAATAATGATGATGACTGTTTATAAAATTTTGCCTTCCCTATCGGATAGTTTTCCCTTTTCTAGGACACGATTAAAAACAACAAACAATTTTAAGATCGGATTCAGTCATATTGAGGATATATTTGTAGAAGACGAACAAAATGAATATTTTTGTTGTACTTGCACACAAATTTGAACTCATAATATTCACTAAATGAATGCATAACTTAAAAAATAATTTCTTTATTAATTCATAGAATCATAATACAACAATACAACAATAATACCCAAATATAAGAGTAATGGGCAATAATGAAACAGTGAACTTCAAGAATCTTTACGGATCACCAAGAGAGAAACATAATTCGACACCAATGAACCCCATAACAGGAAGACTAGAATAAGAACACACAAAGATAAAAGCACACAATAGTAAAAGTATATAAAATCACCTTGTCTGTCCAAAACAAGAAGATAAATATACGTGTGACTATATTATATATGATATAGTTGATTAGCATTGGAAGCCAGGAGGAACTTGTTTGCTGCAAACATTGAGGAGAAGACTTAGAGAGATTGGAAGGTTCAACTTGATTCCAAGAACGTTAGCCTTAAGAGCGGTGCAGAGACAAACGGCTGCTTCAACATCAGCGAGTCCTTGGATAAGGGTGCAGCATGGTTCGACCGGTGGCTTGCCAAGGTTCAAGTCTAGAAGACCCTTGAGCACATTAGCGCAGACACCGAGCTTAAGTGTATCTTTAGGGCACTTTCCCGTGCTAGGGCTAGGGCTTGGTTTAGGAGTTGGTTTTGGCTTTGGCTTGGGCTTGGGAGAGGAGCAACCTCCTCCGCAGGGAGTGCAGCTACCGCATGCGGAGATTGTTGTGAAGAAGAGGAGATTGAGAGCCAAGAAAAGAGCTATGGAGCTTGAAGCCATGTTTTGTTTAGAAGACACTGTTCACTAACTATGTTGTGGATGAATTGAGTGTGGAGAAAATGAAGGGGATTGAGGTAGCTTTTATAGTGGTTTCAAGAACAGCCCAAAGAGCGACCATAAGGTATACTGTGCCATGTGAAATCTTTTGAACGATTGATTACAATTATCAAATATCGTTAGGGGAAATTACAATTACATATTATTTTGTGTTTCTTTGTGTTTACAATCTGAACAGCTGTATGCATTTGTACTTCCGTTACAATAAAATTCTAATTTTTAGATATATATATATATATATATATATATAAACTGAACTCTTTAATTTATTTTGTTTTATAATAAATTATTAGAGGATTGTTGCGTCATGTGAAATAATTATAAATTTTTAGAAATATATTATTATTATTTTTTTAAATTCCTTATTTTTTCAGTAAAAATAGAAATATTTCTTCATATATTTTTTTGGTTTATCCATTTGTTTTAAGATTTCGTTAGAACTAAATTATAAAATAAATTTTATTTATTAAATGTTGCATTTAGGATTATATATATTTATTATTCATATAAAACATATTAAAATAATAAATTAATTAACTTAATAAAATATGAAATATATTTGCATTTAAATGATATATAGTAAGGAAAATTTCAGTTTTACCACAAGTTTAATACCATTTTCAAATTTACTCTTAAATGGTAATTGTATTCATAAATACAGTGGAATTGTGATAAAAATTAAAATAAACCTCGTAAATTATTTATAAATATTTATAAATAATTTATAAAACATTTATCAAAAATTATAACTTCAACCCACCCCTAAATACTAAAATTTAAACCCAAATATTAGAGTATTTTTTATTAACTACATTTTTGAAAAATGATACCCATTTTAGGATATTTTAAACAATTTCTCATAAAATGGTTTATTAATTAACTCAATGATATGCCTAAAAATCGTTCAACAAACATACTTTATGGCGATTGTACTCGGATAAATTTACTAATTTTTTTAGTTTTTGTACCAATTAATGAATTTAAGCATAAATTAAACAGTTAATTGACAGATAAATTCAGACTTAATTTTGAAAAATAAAAAGAATTTACATTTTTTTCAATTCTAGCTAAGTAAACATTTATTTATTTATAATTATTTCATTACTAAAAAGTTTTCATTAATTAAGTTATGGTTATATTTCAATCATCTTACTGAAAAAGTAAAACTTTATAAATGCTACTTGACATGTCATAATAGAAATTAAGTCATGTCATCATTTTATTAAGCCATGTCATTTTTCTCTAATGAAAATGAATGTGATGACTATATTTGGTTACTACACATAAGTGAAATTCAAAAAAATCATTTCATGAAAATGATTAGGGTATTTTACATGCTCTTTGTAATCAGAACGTATACTTGAAAGAACATTTAACCAAGATTTGTAGTGTTAAAAAAGAGATTTATAGACACGTTTGCAGAAGTATTTTACCAATCATGAAAATATTGCAGAATAGAGAAAAAAATGCAAAAACACAAGTTTGCCTTTTTGCGGACAAAAATATGAAGAAATTTTGTTTTATTAATTGGAAAAATGAGTTTTAGATGATTATTGACAAAATAAACACTTTCATATTATTAAATTATATGATAAATTATTTATTTTTTTAATAATTAGTAATAAATTTTGTAATGATAAATAAGTATGTTGTAAATAAAATATACTATAATTTTTTATAAAATTATAAAATGTAAACCTATTATTAAAAACATTTGAAACTAATCTAAATATTTGTAATACAAAGTAAAGTATTTTAAATATATTTTAGTTATTTAAAATTTTGTAGTAGTTAGTTTAATTATTAATATTTATTTTTCATTTAATAAAATATTTTGATCAATCTAGTATTTATTCCGTCATTCCACAAATTTTAAAATTTTTCGGAACCGATATAGTGATGTTATGGTATGATAATGAAGAGAAGGAGGTACCTGAAATACTGATAAGAAAAGACAATTCATTTCCTTCCAAGTCACGATTCCGTGGATTTAGTAAGGACTAAGGACTATCACAAGGCAAATACTTGCTACATTTTGGTTACTTCCTACTTGATTTGGTTTTTCTGAGTAATTCCTTTTACTATTCGATATTTGACTTGTTTGAGACAAGTATTTGTTTTATCAAATATTTGCAAAAAAATTGATATTTGTAAGTTATGTGATTTGACTTGTCCTACATATAAAAATGTCATATGTTCTAAATTCTAAACTCCAAAAATCACATGATTTTTCAAAGAAATAGACAAAAATGAAAATAAGAGTTCGAAATATTGAAAGACTAGAAAATAAGCATTCAAAATATTCAAAGACCACATGAAATTCATTGTTCTTCTATTTTATTTTGATGTTCCAAATTTTTTTGTCTACTTCTTGGTATTATTGTAATACGAGCAAAAGACAAGACAATTTTTATTTTTCAAATAACAAGTACTTCCTCTATTTTATAAAGAATGTCATTTTAGCTTTTTAATTTTATTTCAAAATAAGTGTCATTCTATATTTCTAATATAATTTTTTTATATTCAATTTTTTTCCATTTCAAACAATCAGTAGATGTTTAGCTTAAACAATTTTATAATAAATAAAGATATATTAATATATTTTATTAAATTCTTTATATGCGTGAAATATGTAAAATTGACACTTTTTATGAGACAGAGATAGTAGTATTTAGCACGTCACAAGTATTTTATAAAATGAATAACAAGTAATAAATAATGAGGCAAATTCCAAAAAAATATAATGATATTTGATATTTGTCTTGTCCTTTCAAATAAAGAAATTTGTTGATTTATTACTTGCCCTACAAACAACGTCAAATACTTGATTTTTAACATGAATACGGGTCAAGTCACGAGTATAACGGGATGATCGAGTAAGCTCTATGATTAAACATTATATTTTGTTGTATGGTTTACATAGCTAGACAAGATTACCTTGTTGCATTGGAAACTCGGGCCTAGATGTAATTTATAGAAAATTAGGTGTTTTCTGCACCATGTACAGTAAAGAATTTTTTAAATTTAACTTATATTTAAAAATGAATTTTATTAAATATTATAGATTTTACTATTTTCTTACTAATATTTAATATAGATTTGATATATAGTAAATCAATTTTTATAAAACCAATAAAATGATATAACAGTGTATAATTATCAACATTTAGCCTAGAAATATTTATAAATTTTGTAGATATATAAGAAACTAATGATCTTATGATTAGATATTTTTTTTTAAATTGTAGAAAATTTTAAAAGCTTTAGTAAGATAAATTGTATAATAATACAAAATAAAATATTTCAAAATCTAAAATTTTATATATGAATATTTTTATTTTATAGATGATGTATGAGCTATTACCATATTTAGAATTTTTTTACCGAAAATAAATATCAATATTAAATGTAATATATGAATTATTACCATATTCTAATAATTTTGCTAATATATAAATCAATATTAAATAAAATTATCCATGTCAGATTTTACTACTTTCTTACTAATATTTAATATACATTTGATATACTATATCAATTTGTATAAAACTAATAAAAATGATATAAATTGTATAATTATCAAAATTTAGCCTAAACAATATTTATAAAATTTGTAAACATATAAGTAACTAATTATCTTACGATTAGATATTTAAATTTTTAAAAACTGTAGAAAGTTTTGAAAGCTTTAGTAATAGAAATTGTATAATTATACAAAAATAATAATATTTTGAAATTTAAAAATTTATATATGAATATATTTACTTTATAGATGATTTATGAACTATTACCATATTTAAAAAAATTTACCAAAAAGAAATATCAATATTAAATGTAATATATGAATTATTACCATATTCTAATAAGTTTAAATCATCATTAAATGAAATTATCCATGTCATATTTTTACGGAACCCATATCATATTTGTTTTGTGAAATTGATTTTAGAGAGGACATGTGGCAAAATCACTTCGCTAATATAGTCTAGGGGATAGAGGTCGAGAATAGTACAGAATGAAAAATGTAAACGTAATTCTGTTTGTAGACATAATTCTCTAATCAATTAAAATATGTATGATTTTATGAGAAAATATAAAGTATACAAAATAACTTTTCATCTTAGCATACAAATATTGACAATACATACTTACCATATTGGAAAATCAACCCATCTGTAATTATAGTGTGTTAAACACACATTCGTAATCGTGTGTATATATGTAATAAAACTTTCCAATTTCTTTTTAATATAACACTTTTTTATTTAGAATAATAATAAGACTTCTGTTTCTCTAAACCTCAAATTTTGATTTAATTTTTTACTATCTTATCTTTTTTTTTTTGTAACACCAACTTTAATTAAAATAAAAAGGCCTCAGCCCAGTTCAGCCCACAAAAGGGTCCAAAAGCAAAGAAGAAGAGAGTGATTGTTTTGCCAACGAGTCGGCTTCCACATTCATCGATCTCGGGAAAAAGGAGAAAGAAACAGCAACGAAAACAGAGGAGATTCGCTTGATATCATTGACGATACTGAGGATTTCCTTAATCTGCATGTTGCATGAGATAGCTCGGATGAGCGTTAAGTTGTCAGAGAAACAAAGGAGCTTCTGGAGCCCTAAGTCCACTGCAGAGAGGAGAGCTGATCGGAGAGCGATAGCTTCGGCAGTCAGGGGAGATATGATGAGATTCTTGTAGGTAGCGTCATGGTTGATGCGAGCACCAGTCGAATCCGTGAAGATCCAGGCCACTCCCGCTCGTTTTGATGTTTTGTCCCATGCCGCATCCGTTCTACATGTTACCGCCATTGGATCATTCAGTCGCAAGTCGAGGGTCTGTCTTCCACACGGTAGGTGTCTTAATTTCTGTTTGGTTGGTGATTGTGCTGTGACCCACTCTCGTGCTAGTCTTAATCCCTTTGTTGCTGTCTCTATAGGTGATATGCTTCTTTTCTCAAACAGCAGTAGGTTTCGCGCGTTCCACAGAGCCCAACAAAT